TATATATATATATATATAAGTGTGTAATATTCATTATATAAGCTAGCTTTTAAGTAAAAACTCAATTTGAAATAATATATGGCTTATTAATCATTATCATAAGACTATTACAAATATTAATCCTACAAATTTTAAGTTTGAAATATTTTACTTTTAATGTAAAAGAAAGTGGTGTTCTAAAATTTTATATTAACTAATAATAAGACTAAGGGAAAAAAGACTAAAATTTAACAATGATAATTCATCTTTGTTCTTTAAATCAAAATAAAGATAAAAATAAAAAAACCTCTTCTAAAGTTATTCTCAAAATACCTTATAATCTCTCCTCCAAAATAAAATAATATATATATATATATATATATATATATATATATATAAAAGGAGAAATCAATTGGTGAATAATTATATATAAAAATATTTTATATAATGATTTATATTAATAAAATAAAATATCAAATAATTTTTAATTTTTTTTAAAATTTGCAGGTTTAGTAAGAATTTTAAATTTAACGATTGAATCATTAAAATTTGATATAAAATATAAATTATTGAATGAAATAAATTTAGAAAGATTTATTCTTATAATAAATTAATTCATCCTCCCTCTATGTATATAGATGAATGAGATAGTTGCATACGTATTTTGAAATAATAAATATAAATGGAATTGAAATAGAATTTTAGTTTCTCATTTTCATTTTTTATTCAATTGGATCTCTTAAATTTAAAATTTTTACTTTACTTTCTTAAAACATCTTAATTAGACCAAATTGATCATTTTATTAATTTATCACAATTTGATTAATGTAGTGACGTATGATGAGTAAGTTATGTTAGGAAAAATTTACATTATTAATACAAAAAAGGTGTCAAAATGATAAATTTTGTTAATGAAAACATTTTAAAAGATCAAAGTAAAACTTTTAAAACTTAAGAGATTGAAACTTAAACAAATGAGGAAGCTGCAAGATTATATTTTAAGCTTGCTTAAAATTAAAAAAATGATGGAATTTAATTCTAAGAATTATATAAATAGAGCCTTGTATATACATACATACGCATCCTCAACTAGACCACAACCACTAAAGATTTGCTTCTTTCTAACCTCACAGTACCCACGCGAAAAAGATGGGCATCCAACATGTGATGGTTTTGCCATTTCCTGCTCAAGGCCATGTGAATCCCCTAATGAGCTTCTCTAAGAGACTAGCTCAACATGGCTTCAAAGTCACCTTTGTGAACACAGATTTCATCCACAAGAGGGTGGTGAGTGCAACAAATGAGGAGGTGAACCTCCAGGAGTCACCAGTGAAACTAATCTCAGTGCCTGATGGCCTAGGCCCTCAACATGACAGAAATGACCTTGCTAGTTTGGTTTTGGCAATCTTGAGAACCATGCCTTCAGCCATTGAAAACCTCATAAGGGATATGAATGGAGGTAGTGACAAAATCACTGCCATAGTTGCTGATCTCAACATGGCATGGGCCATGGACGTTGCAGATAAGTTGGGACTCAAAGCTGCTGTCTTCTGCCCTTCTTCAGCAGCTGTTTTTGCCTTGCAAAACGACATTCCTAAGCTCATTCAAGATGGAGTATTGGATAATACTGGTAAGGCCATTTTTGTCGGTTAACAATGTTGCCTCATCATGTTACTGTTTCCAAGCATTCAACTAAAGCAATTTAATTTGCAACTCCATCCTACCTATTCTTTGTTTAAGATTTATTGTTTTTCATTAAATAATTTTCAACCTTTTATTTTTGTTTCACAAAATAAATATATGTTAGTTGTAAATGTGTAAATTAATTAAAAAAATAGATTAAAAAAAATAAGAGTATAAATCACTAAAGTGGTCAAAAGTATGAGAATTTATATTCATTTTTTATCATTATCATTATAATTTTTCTTGTCAAAAAAATAAACAGTACATTGATTTCAGGCACTCGAAAAATATAAGTTGCATGAATCTTTTTGAAACAACAATGATACGTAAATTAAAAAAAAAAAAAAAAAGAGTTACGTTAATTTTTACACGTGCACTAATATGTAATTTTTAAACAACAAAGACTATATTTAATATAATTTTTAAAATATATATAATAAAAGTTAACAATTTTTTTTTAAGTTATGATTGAAAGACAATGTAAAAATATGGATACATAGTTTTTTTTTTATAACTAAATTGATATGCAGGAAGCACAAGAGTAATATCCACTTATGCATAATCGTAGATGTGTTGAGAACAAGATACTAATTCATGTAGGACTCACTGCAGGATTCCCAATTATAAAAGGGGAATTTCAACTATCCCCAGCAATGCCAATCATGAACTCAGCTGACATTCCATGGTGCTGCATAGGCGACACAACCGTGCAGAAGACCATATATGACTACATTGCAAAATTTATGGACTATGTACACTTGACAGATTGGTGGCTTTGCAACACCACTAGTGAACTTGAACATGGGGCACTATCTTTATCTCCAAAGATCCTTCCAGTTGGTCCAGTTCTCATGGAGAGTCGTAATGAGTTTAGATCAGTGGGACAATTCTGGGAAGAAGACCTCTCTTGCTTGAAATGGCTTGATCAACAACCACCTTCTTCGGTCATATACATTGCCTTTGGTAGCTTCACAATTTTTGACTCTATTCAACTCAAGGAACTAGCACTTGGACTTGACCTCACAAACAAGCCTTTTCTTTGGGTTGTGCGTGAGGATGCTAGTGGCAGCACAAAAATCACATACCCTGATGAATTCAGAGGCACTCGTGGCAAAATTGTAAAATGGGCACCTCAGCAAAAGGTGTTAGGCCACCCTGCTATAGCTTGTTTTGTTAGCCACTGTGGTTGGAACTCTACTATGGAAGGTGTGGCCAATGGGGTACCCTTCTTGTGTTGGCCTTATTTTGCTGACCAGCTATTTGACAAGGCTTATATTTGTGATGTGTGGAAGGTGGGGTTGGGGTTTGACACTGATGATAAAGGGGTGATATCACGTTGGGAGATAAAGAAGAAAGTGGACCAACTCTTTGGAGATCAGAACATGAGGAGAAGGTCTCAAAAACTGAAGGAGATGGTGGTGCGTAACATGGCAGCAGGAGGAAAATCTTATGAGAATTTAACCAAGTTTGTGGAGTGGCTCCGAAAGTGAAAATGTTCTTGTTCACTTCATAATAAGATATTAGTGGCGTTCCCACGCAATATTGAACATTTAAATAAATTAAGCTATACATGATGTAATTGTAGACAAGATCAACCCTTCTTATATGGATTTGTTCTATGATTTATTTTATTTGTGTTTTGTTTTATGGAAAACACTTTAATTTGGCCACCAAAATTAAAAGAGAATCAAATTCCAAATTTTAATTCTAAATCTTAGACCGAGAGAAGAAAGCAAATTACAATAAAATTGGTATTTTTAATTGTTATGATAAATATATATATATATATATATAT